ACAAATGGTATTTGATATGGATGCAGCCAAGCTCGTCTGATGATCAAGCTGATGAATCTGAGTCTGATGATCAAGCTGATGAATCTGAGTCTGATGAAGTAAGCTTGTTTCTCTTTACTAGTGCAATCTTTTTTGCCTTCATAATCCTTACATAGAAATACCATGGTGCCACAATTTTGACTTGAACTCAAGGCATCGTTGGAGGATTTTGACCTGGATCAACAATGAGTTGTGTTTGAGATTTGAAATAAATTCTCCAAAAATGTGGTAGCCACAAAGAATGTGGGAGATATATTTTTGAGTAATTATAATGAGTAAGCTATTTGTTGATGCAGCCAAGCTCTCCTGAGCCTTATGCAGTTAGAAGATCTGTGTCTAAAAGAGTAAGTTTCTTTTCTCATTACTAATAGAATATTTTCTTGTTTCATAAACAAAACGCTATGATTCTGATATGAAATTCTCCAGTTAACAATTTAGAATGGACAAAATTACTATTGCGTGATTCAGATTTGGATATAAATATAAGCTATTTTTTCATGTAAAGTTATATATATAAAGCAAAAGGCCGCAATGATTTGTGATCGACCTCCTTCTACTTCATTATTTTTCAACTAATATTGCACTGATTTATATTATTTCAGAAGGTCGCAATGAAAGTAATTCGAGGATTGAATACTGGTGTGACCGTTGGACAATTTGTTGTTGGTGCCGCTGGTCTGTGCAGCATTATGTGATTGATGGCAGCTTCATCTTTCACTGAAACCGGTTTTTCATCCTAATTTCTGCGCACAAATGAAGTACCTTGGCGTTCTGGCCGAACTCTTTCTTGAAGATCCCAAAGGAACCAGGGCCACAAACATCATGGGTCATCAAAACATCGACGTTGACCCAAACATTCTCACCGGGGCTCAACTGGGTTTTCTCAGAAGCTCTAGCAAATATCTTCTCAGTCATCGTCATTCCCGTCTTGACCTGAAAATGAATCAAAACCCAATGTAAAAAACCATGAGCTGGAGATTTCCATTAATTCTAATCGCACAAAACAACGAAGAAAAAGGGAAATAAAGATCCTCACCGAGCCAGTAGTGACAGGCTTGCGCTCTGATTGTTTTGGTGCAGTGACCGAACAGACTGTCTTCGATGTTCTCTTGCATTTCTGACTGGAGAGCGGCGATGCGGAAGAGAAAGCAGAGAGACCCAAATCTTTCTGCGGTTCAAATCAAATTTCAGAAGACATGGTTTAGTGAAACAGGAAAACAAAAGGAAAAAGAAAGAGTTAAGACTTAAATGTGAGAACTTTATACGGGTATTGAACAAAAAGAGAATACCTTGTTGCTGATGAAAGAGGTGGATGGTGGAGCAACAGTGGAGCAAGCAGCCATGGGTGTGAAATGTGTGGTTATTCGGCAAAACACAGTTTTCTGAAAGGAAGAAAATGAAAAGCAAGTTGGGGTTTTGGTTTTGTGTTTGTTTGTGTTATTGAAACTGAGAGGCGGCGGCTGAGGGCGTGAATTGGGGCACACTACAGATGACAAGTGGAGGCGTGTGCTTGGCGTTGCTTTTTTTGAATTAGCTACCAATTTTAACCTGTTAAAAGTGAATATGTGGAAAAAGCAGGCTACGTTCCCGGATTTTTCTTTCTTTTATTTATTTTAATTTTAATTAGTTTTTTTTTGTTCTTTTTAATTTTATTCATGGGGTAAAATTAAGTTTTGCATTGTAAAAAAATTCACTTTGTCTACCCGAATTATCACTTTTGTTCGTTCTATTTGGGAAAAATGGTTTCAAACTTGAGACTTCTTTTAATACTAAAAAATAAATATTATTAAATCTTAATTACTCATAAATGAATTTACGCAAAGATATTCTTGAAATACAATTAACCCAAAAAATAAAACTCAATAAATGGCTTAGGATTCAAGATCTCATATCGGAAAAAATAGCATATCCTAGAGTGGTTTAAGAGCTCTTGAGTACCATCAACACGTCTAGCCCAGTAAAAAAGGTCATTGACTTGCAGATCAGAGGTCTTAGCTTCGAATCCCCATGACATCATAGTTGTGTGTGTATGTGTGTGATAAATTATTCTCCCCTCTAGTTTAGACTATCGCTTGTACTCTAAAAAAAAAATAAGTGCTTCCCTTACAAGCCGGTTTTCAGAGACAAGTTGAACCATTCATAAGAGGTTGATGCCTAAAACTTATCAAATAATAACCACTTAACATTTTCTATAATTTGTGTTTTGGACTTTGGAGAGGATTTTACCAGTGGGAATTGGGTGTGGCATGGGCTAGGCTAGAGCCCGGCCTGAGAAAAGAGTATATGGGGCTCGCTCTCACAAATGGACCATTAGAATTAAATTTTTTTATAAAAAATAAATAAATTTGGACCATTAGAATCTGCCGGGTATGAGTATGACAACCCAAAAACATCCTATTTTATTAGCTTTTTTTTCTTCTTCTTCCAAAGCAAAACATTTTATTAAACCACAGGCCAAATTATAGAACGAGTCATGTTGATAGTCCTTGTATTTGGTTTTGTAATTTACCTTCGTCAAGTTTTTTAAAAGGTATTTATAATGTTCGGAAGCTTGGGTTCCTCAGAGTCAAGAGTCAGAATAACTTCGTTGCAATTCTCATGTTTTTTTTAGAACAAGTTAGACAAAAAACACAGTGCCTCTTTGGAGGCCAGGTTGAGGTGCTGCAGAAGTGTCACACTGTGAAATGATTCAAGATGTTCGCAAGAGGCAAAAATAACGATAATAATTCGATCAATAAACTTCCTATAAATACAAGGCTCAAGACTACTTTCAAAGGGTTCAAACACCAAACAAAAGCCTCCCATTGAGCAAATTATATTTTCCTGTAATGCACTTTCAATATCTTTACTTGCTTTTCTAGGAGTAGTGTTAGTTGTAAGGAAAATTCATTCATCAATATATCATACGACCCTTGATTTTCAAGGCGCCGGAGCACCATCTCTGTTATTCATTCATTCACCCCATATATCATACGACTGCCGCTCACTGAGCAGCGCGCCGGAGCAGCGCCCAAAACCCACCATCAGCACCACCCCTAAACGGCCTTGTAGCTCAGGCCGTGAACCTTGCAGCCGAGATCAGTTCCTCTCTCGGCTACAGTCGTTTGATTAGAAGACGAGTTCAAACAGGCGCACCACTTAACCATTTCCATCCACATCAACCTCTCGACGCAAGGTAGGCCGTGCTGGCACGCCCGCACACAACCGCACCGCATCCAAAAGCAGGAAGCCACGTGTCAACGCACATCCCCTCGGCCCGGAACCCCAGGCCGTGAGATCTGCATGGTAGACAATAATATATACACTTAATAATCGACAACTTGTAATTTAGTTAATGGCCTCTCTAAAATAAATTAGACATAATTAAATTCAAAACTCTAACATGTAAGTTTTAAATCATATGTATTTGATATACTTTATTTTCTATTTTGGCATCCCGAATCTTACAATTCTAGCTCCGCCAATATATATAAAATCTTACAATTCTAGCTCCACCAATATATATAAATCTATATATATGCAAAATGAGTAAAGTCATTTGTTGATGCATTTGAAAGAGATGTGTCAGAAAAAGTAAGTTTCCGTTCTCATTACTAACATTATATCTTGCTTTATAGATTACATAATACGATGCCACAACTTTGATTTGAACTGCATACATCCTTTGTGAATATCAATAGGGATAAACAAACAACTGTGGTTGGGATTTCTCCAAGAATTTAGACTCAGTTTGGGAGCCACATAAGCAACTGTCAGCTGTCTTTCTAAACCCATCTCTTCATAAAACTTTGAAAATTTCTGTGATGTGTACTCTCCTCCTCTGTCACTTCTCAGTTTCTTAATTTGGTAACCACTCTGCAATTCAACCATGACTTTGAACTTTCTGAAAATGTTCAGTGCTTGAGACTTATACTGCAAGAAAAATACCCAACACATTCTAGGCCAAATTAAAAATTGCGAGCATCTTCAAGTTGCAAGTCTAAACATGAACTCTCTATGATATTCCCAGACCAAATCAATAGCTAGTTGATTATTTATGAGAGTGTTAAATTTTTTTTATTATATCTTTTTGGTAGGTGAGTTGATAGAGGAAGAGTTTCTAAATTTTTAGGGTGTTTTATTTAGTCAAGGCCTAAAGCGAAAATCATAGTGGGCTCTTATTATTATTTTTTAGAATTTTTGTGATTGCAATCATAATTCAGTCAAAAAGGCTATTATTCATAAAGTGCCAATAGAAATTGACCACAAAGTGCAAATATTGATTACTTCATAGATTTCATACCACAATGTCACAACTTTAATTCGGACTGCATGCACACATCCTTTGTGAATTTTGATTTGGAAAAAACAACTATGATTGGGATTTGAAATTCTCCAAGAATGTAAACCCAGCGTGGTAGTCTACTAGTCACACAGAATGTCGTTGATATTTTTCCTAAACTATATAATAGTATAGCCACGCGGTTATACTGTTTTTACACATGACAAAGCGGCTCTAAAAATAGGCATGCCCTCCTTTTTTATTAAAAAAATTATATAGCCGCGTGGCTATACTCAGGGGGGTTTTATATTAAAAAGGGTGTAGCCGCGCGGCTATACTATTTTGATACGTAGCAAAGCGGCCGCTAGGCGCTAGGCGCTAGGAGGGTGGTGGCTATACGCGGGATTTTTGTAATAAAAAGAGTACAGCCGCGCGGCTATACGACGGTTTTTTATTACAAAAATTGTATAGCCGTGCGGCTATGGCTATAAATTTTTTACACGTGTTGGAATGGGCGCTAGGTGCCAGCCAGGCTGGCCTTTAAAAAAAAAAAAAAAAAAGTATAGCCGCGGCTATACGCGTGGGTTTTTTTTAATAAAAATAGTATAGCCGATCGGCTTTACTATGGTTTTTATTGTAAAAAATAGTATAGCCGCCCGGCTATACGATTTTTGACACGTGGGACGGCTACTATTTTGACACGTGGCGGAATCAGGCTGTCCTTTCTTTAAAAAAAATATTATAATAGTATAGCCGGCCGGCTATACCGGGATTGTTTTATAATATAAATCGTATAGCCGCTCGGCTATACGACGGTTTTTATTAATTAAAAATAGTGTAGCCGCACGGCTATACGCTACTATATCCACAGGAGTGGGAGGACAATTTTCTGCGATGGCCATGGATGTAGGGTCCTCTTCAAGGCACGTGTTATAATAAAACTACAGCTTTCGACCTCTGCTCCTCCTGCTACAGGGGTGGAAGCTACCCTCCATCCATGCCAACCTTGTGGAAGCAAGGCTGTTGTGTCCATCATGACACAAAATCACATAATTAACACTAATTATTCATATGAAAAATGTGCTTTTATAAAAGGAAAAAACTACTTATAACACGTGTACAAGATGTACGTGACCATACTAACGTAGTTTTATAATTTCTTTTTATTTTCGGATGTGGCATTTGAGGGACAAATTTTTCCATAAATTTAACAAAGTATAATAATCAAAACGATCCCTCTTAATAAGTTAAGTTATATATGTGTGTACAATATGATCTCACAGTACAATATAGATTGAGAATATAATTTTTTTTTCCATTAAATAATTATCTTGTCAACACACTGACGCTATTTGTTGATATGCATGCAGCCAAGCTCTTCCCATGATCAAGATTCTGATGTAAGTTTTCTTATTTCTTATCCACAATTTTGGCTTCAACTCAAGGATCGTTGGAGGATTTTGTTCTGGATTTCCATTTGAAATTCTCAAAGAATTAATGTAGACTCGTTCTGGTAGCCACACAGAATGTGGTTAATACTACACTTAAGAGTAGATACTGTCTGTAGATATAAAATTAGGCTATTTGCTGATCTAGAATTTAGATATAAAAAGCAAAGGCTCTTATGACTTATAAGGTAGTCATTTATTACTATATCCACATGAGAGTAAAATAGTAAAATTCAGATAATTAAGAAAATAAGATGAGAAACTTAATTAAATTTATTCATCATAATCAAAATTTGCACGGCAAAAACTACCATGGAATTTATAAGGGTTTCGATAGTAGAATTAGGTTAAAAGAGAAATTCAAATATTAAGCAAACAACAACTGAAATAAACTGTAATAGTGAGAGCATCTCCAAAGGGAAATGTCACATATCAAATATTAAATTTGAATTTCACGACTTAAGGCAATTTGACATATAATAGAGTTTTACATTTCACCTTATATGTCAAATTAAAATATTAAAATATTATGTATTATTTATTGGTTTACTACAATCTAGACACATTAATTGAAAAATAATAATAATAAAATTAAATAACATCACAAGCTCAAACCACCAAAAATAACAACAAGAGAGAGAAATATTAATCCATGTAGGATATTTAATATTTTGATTGGAGTGAGTCTCAACTATTTAACATTTTGATTGGAGTGAGTCTCAACTATTTTTTCTACCGAGAGCATTTTTGCTCACCACTTTAACCATATGTGTACCTTCATCACCCAAC